AATGATTTCGCTGTGCGGGGATGTTGGGAAACTTTTGGTGTTGAGGCTTCTATGACTAGTGACATGATGGTGTTCGCAAATGTCTCCCAGGCTAGTTCTGGGGTGCAGTTAGCTAGAAACGTCCAACTGGTATTCTCAACTAAGGCAGACAGAACGTGGTAACGGATAACAGATTGCCTCGTTTCGAGCTCCGCAGCTGGATATTTGGCGTAGCAGATGTAATCGAACTGCAAAGTCACGTGATCGCTACGGCCCAAAGCACTGCACACCTTTAGTCCATCGACCATGAGCTCTTCGTTAGTGAGCACTAGATCTAATATGGATGGGTTGTTTCCTGTTCTGAACCTGGTTGGAACGGTGACGTGGTTATACAAGAAGGTGCTAGAGAGTAGCTCTTGCAAATATGCCTTGAACACCTCTGTCTCGGATGCTGGATTTTCCAAGTCATGGGTGTTGAAATCTCCTGCAACGAGGATGTGGCTGTACTTCTGATTAAGCACGGAGCGAAAAGCGGAGATAAGTCTGTTGTCCCTTTCCGGAGTGGATTTCGGTGGTCGGTAAACCACAGAGAGAAGGCATACGTCGTTGCGTTCCAACCACAGTTTGCACCAAAGGACGTCGGTGACACAAGTCTGGGGATCGTCTATGAGCTCACAACGAAGGTTCTTTCGGAAATAAATGAGCACGCCACCGCCCTTGCCCGTTCTGTCGTTTCGGAGAAGTGACATACCCGGTATGGCAATCTCAGCGTCTGTGATTTCGCCGCTCAGCCAGGTTTCGGTGATCATTATGATGTCTCGAGGCTCCGAAGCCAAACGGTGACGGTGTTCTACCAACTTACTTATGAGGCGTTGTGCATTAGTATACATGCAGGATAGTGCTTTTGTAACCAGGAGTGAGCTAGCACCGGTTGTGGTAGAAATGGAGTTTGTGCCGACCGTTAACGGGTCGGCCATTAACCGTTTTTTTGTGGTGAAGTTTGCCTTTGAGTTTGCTTTCGGTTAGACGACTGATCGCGGCCTTCCGGGCCCTGCTGGTCCCCCGTGTTCAGCCGTGTTTCGTGGGATATTGCGGTTGTTGATAAATCCATGCCTTCACAAAGTTGCATGAGTGGATGGTTCAACAATTTGATCGCTCCCCGTGAGTCGTTGGTAATCCGTGGCAGCGTACCTGATGCCTTTAACCGAATTTCAGCTGGCAGCTTCATGCGGAATTTGGACCAGTTTTCCAAGGCGAGCGGTAACATAAACTCAGATTGAAGCACCACCTTCATAGGTCTGGGACCGTTCCCTTTGTAGTTGGGTGAAAATGGAATCCTGGTCAACCGCTTAGCGATGATATAATTGAGGGAGATTTCGTGGCGGATGTAACTCCATTGCTCCCGGTCATGTGCATCCGCTGCATCAGAGGTTGAATTTTGGAGCTCAGGAACCCCGTACACAATTATCGTCCGTTTCGCCTCGGCTTTACGAACTTCTTCGCGGTTGCTCATCTTTTTCGGACGTTTGTTCCAGGGGATATCAGGAAGTATACGTGCCTCGAGTGATGAATGACAAAGCCTGTTGGACGATAGTAGAACTGCCTCTGTGTCCTTGATGGAGTTTAGTGTCACCCGGAGAAGTCGGGGTTCACCGTAGTGCGCTGAATTTGGATGACGTGTGACTCGTCTCAGCATTGCAGGTTCAACCGAAATGCCAATCGCAGTACATATAGACTTCCACTGATTACGATCATCCAACAGCTTCCCCTTTATTGTACTCGCCTGTGATTCAGCAACATTTGTACACACAACGGTTAACGCGCCTTGACTCCTTGCGTTGGATGCAGATTTGCCATGACTTAAAGACACGGTGTTAAACGGATTGTTTGGTTGTTGGAGTCTGGTCAACTTACTGTTGCTTGGTGAGGCCACCGGAGTCGGAGGTAATTTAGCCGGTGTATGCATTGAGGCGACTGAGGCGTACGACGCCCGACTTTTCTCTACGGCGGAAGAGGTTTGCCCCGAAGCGTATAGCAAAAGCTCTAAGTGCTTTTGCTAGCCTTCGCCTTCTACCATACTGTACGGTTGCGAAATCTGGCCTCTAACATCGGCGGACAGGAAGAGGCTAGTTACGTTCGACCACCAGTGCCTTCGCAGTTTGGCTCACATCTGGTGGGAACACCGCGTGAGTAACGAGCGTTTTCGACGCCTTGTTTACGGCACAGGAAAAGGAAGTGAACCGCTCAGCACCGTTATTTCACGCACCAGGCTCCGATGGCCGGGCCACGTGTTGCGCATGCCACCCCACCGACTCCCTCGACGTGTGTTGTTTGCTCACCGGGGATGTGGATGGAAGAAGAGGAGAGGTGGCCAAGCGATGACTTGGTCCAGATGAATGAAGGCTCTCACTTCGGAGCTAGCCTCGGTTGGAGCTTCACGTCTCCTTGGTTAGGGTCCAAAAGACGGTAAACGTGCTTGACTGGATACACATGCTGACATGGCAAGGAGCCGACCTCATTGACGTTCCTGCTGTGAGTTTCTTTGTCCCTCCCCATCCCTTTTAGCCTCCCCTTCCATCTACGATCTCATTTCGTAGGTAAAACATAATAAAAAAATTTCTTTTTGCCTAGTAGCTGGCTGGCAGCTTACCGGAACGATGCTTATCCGTTGCTGGTAGCTCAGCTGGCGTGCAACTGCCGTATTTATTTTTCCTTTATGTATGGAATGTATGTATGCGTTTCCTTTATGTATTGCTGTACAATAGCGGAGGTGTTTCACCACCTCTAGCTGACAGGTATAATGATGATGATGATGATGATATTGAAAGCGCTTACCAGGCGAAGTCCCACCACACCCTGGAACACTGCCGCCGAACCATTTGCTGGAACGGGATTTACCCGAACCTACCAGCTGGCACCACGTGGTGATTGTTCGACTAGCCAGCAAGTGGCAGCCTTCACACACGGATGGCAGACTTCTTGGAAGGTCGGACCCTATAAGGGAGAGCGAACGAATTGCTGTCCAAGCCAGTGCTCGTGACAAACGGTGTTTCACAGGGATCCGTCCTTGGGCCTGAAGTGTTCAAACTGTATATCAATGATCTTCCGACAACAATCCAAACCGGGGGATTTATCTATGTTGATGATCGTAGGTTGTGGTCTAAAGTGCCTAAACTTGATGCGTCTGATAAACTACAGGCGACCCTTGACCTGTTGCCTTACTGGGCCATCAAGTGGAGCCTACCAAGAAACTACGAAAACTGTTGCGCTACCCCGATAAGGACTTCTGAGCCACTTTGAACGTATCCGTACGTGCGTTCCTTCTTAACCTCGCCACTTAAGAGGATGACTTATGCATAATAATAGCAACTACTCTAAGAACCTCACATAAAATGCTGAAAAACTTGGCGACTGCAAACAGGATGTGCCGCGGCATGAGAAGCTTCTACTCTTGAATGACACCGGAGGTCTTCAGCCTCCTATTCACCTCCTATGTACAACCGGTACTGGAGTATGGGTCGTCAACTACATTTTCCGTCTCTAAGGTTAAATTTGCCTTGATAGAAGGGGTTCAGAGGTGTGGCTCTAAGTTCGTTTCCGGGCATCGTGATCTTCCTAACCCCTCCGGCATCATGCAGTGAATCGGTTTTCCATGGAACACCGCTGCTGTCATGGCGAATTCATCATTACGAGGTATTGCTGATAGGAGAAATTGGGAACGAGCTACAGCAGCTTTTTCAGCTCAACCCACTTGCTTCTGCACGAGGACACTACTGGAACCTATTAAACGGTGGAAGCTCAAAGCCGGCGCTGCTGTTGTCCCCTCCACTCGAGTGGTGAAGGACTGGCATCTACTTCCGGCTACCTTTAACTACGCACCTACGCAAGTCACCAAAACCGAACTGTCCTACGGCAACTGCTCCTGTTCCCTGAGGACTACCTGGTCGCCCTGACATACGTGGCCTTGTTACTGAACTGCAGGTGTTGTGCTAACATGGGTCCTCCCTTGGGCCCTTTACAACGTTGTGTACTCAATGAACGCAACAAATGCGAGTCACTCAACATGAGACTCATTTACATGCAGACCACATGCCTACAACTTATTCTGCAGCTTACGCACATTGATAAGCGAAATGCGGAGCTATCCTGGGTGAGCAACCCTGCAGCGTAAGAAAAATGCACAACTTCTTGGGAGGCGCAGTTATCCGCCGGTTGTACAAGTGAAAGCCCACTGACCGCAGACCTTTATCTCTGACAGCTCGCTTGCTTCTGAGTCCGCACAATGTTGATTGTGTCCTTACTAGTGGCCACAGTGAGTGTATACCACACTGGTAAGAAACTGGCATCGCACTGTGCGTAGTCCTGACTTAGAAAAGTTAAAATCAATGGAAGTCCATAACAAATGACAGCAAGGAAGCAAGCTCACGTTTGTAAATATCGTTCAGCATTTCGTGATGTTTACGTAATTAAAGAAATGCTATAGCCATGTATCGGAGACATCTCAATCCATACTGCCAGGCCAGTCTTTCACAGCGACGATGCACATTCAGCGTGTTCTGTCGCAAAATGTGTTAGTCTGGTGAGTATCAGTACCCAGGGAATGAACATCGATTGAAACTTGGATCCAGGCGATCAAGAAACAAGGTTGCATTTAAATTGGACTACTTCCGCATGTAACATTGTCGGTGAATACTGCAATTTGTTAAAACAATGTGCCACAGGTTCGAAGCCCAAATAAACCAAAAGCAGTCTTCAGCCGACAGATTCTACGAAACAAATTTTTACGCATGTGCTTTACCTAGGACACGGATGCTTACAAAAATCGAATAACAATATAAACTCAATGAAAATTTGGTAGAATCCATTTTCCGCAAAATAATTTTGCAGCTGCCTTTAAAATTACCATTTTTTCTTATGTTAAAAACTGCTTTTCTACGTTTTATTTCAACGGGAGGGTTTGATTTCTATTTTATGTGGCTTACGTTCGTTTAAGTTTACTCAGCCTGTGCACTTCCGTCTCCATCGGTTTCCATCCGCCATTGCGACTGACGCCATCGGACTTTGCAGGTAACGCGTAAGGTTAGTTAGTTGATGTGTACCTAACTATCGTGTAAAGCTTTTAGGACTTTAGTCATTATGCGTCCCGTCGGTGATTCTAAGGCCGATCAGGATAAGAAACTTTTTGTTGGTGGTCTTAGCCCTAAGACTAACGAAGAGTCGCTGCGTTCATACTATAGCCAATGGGGTGAAATAACTGACGTTGTGGTAATGAAGGATCCTCGATCAAATAAATCTCGTGGCTTTGGTTTTGTTACATTTAAAGAAGCCGCTTCAGTTGACAAAGCCCAGGCCGACCGTCCCCATAAGCTAGACGGCAAAGATGTAGACTCTAAGCGCGCGATGCCTAGAGAGGAAACCAGCCCAGAGGTCCATGCTGCTGTGAAGAAAATTTTTGTTGGTGGGCTGAAGAAAGAAGTAACTAACGATGATCTCGCGGAATATTTCGGCAAATTCGGAAATGTCACGGACGCCCAGATTGTTATCGCTAAGGACACTAATACATCACGAGGCTTTGCTTTCGTGACATTTGATGACACTGATAGTGTTGATAAAATTATCCTTGCTCGGCCCCACACAATCTGTGGCCACAAGGCAGATGTTCGTAAAGCTCTTAGTCGTGAAGAAATGAATAAAGTTCGTTCCAAACCCCCACCGGCTCGTGTGGAGTACAACCAAGGATGGAATGACGCTCCGAGCATGGGCTATCAGCAGCAATCCTGGGATCAGGGTTACAACCCTCCCTATGGTCAACACCAGCAGCAGTATGCTTACAATAATACTGGATACGGTGAGTCTCATGTGCCGCTCTCCCAACATAAGCATTTTTTCTAGGTTACAGTGGTTATGACAATAACAGTGCTGGTGCTTGGCCTGGTATGTCCGATGGCTTTGGAAACTATCAGCAACAAGCATATGGTGGTGGTCCCATGAGAGCTACTCCTGCAGCGGCTCAGTACACGCGGCCTGCACCTTACGCTGGCAATGGCTGGCCTCAACGTTAATCACAGGTTTTCTTCACGCCCACCAATAAGCGACGTTGAACTGTGCATAGTGCATTTGACACATTTTTATCGTGACCTTGCTGTAAAATACACCGTTACACCGTTAACACTTTTTGTTACTCGCCAATTACTTTCACTAGGCATTTGTGTTATCCCGTGGCTGAGGTGTCTATGTTTTGGTTGCCACAGGTACACTAACCTCACTCCGGACCGCAGTTTCAACCATGTGATCGACCCTCTAGAGTGTCGATGAAGTTCGTCTGTAGGGCTTTCGACGAAACGGAGCTGTCTCCATGTGATTGGAAATCGCACTGCAACATGCGTCTGCTATCATGGAACTCTTCAGTTGGTTACATATCCGGTATAATTGTTTCCGCATTCTATGGGAGCCTGGTTTTCATGTGTTCGATCTCTGTCAAATAAATATTTCCAGCGCATCCTGCTTTGTTGCCTAGTCTCAACGTTGCTACTTAGTCTCGAATAATTTCCGTCGTGCCTTCTGCGTTGTATACGACTAGCTAATATGCGCTTACATGGTTTGTTTCGATTCGCGAAAACTCTTCGGCTGAGTTTCTATACCACATGGGTGTAAACTGACTAGAAGTGCATTCCCAGGCTTGCTATTAACTTCGTTTTACCAAGAGCTGGTGGTGTGCAGGTAATCATCACTACCAAGAAATGCCCACCAAAGGTATCTAATGGTCTCACCCGTACTATGGCGTTGGCCTATTTTGCTCTCCTTTTTGACGCTTTGGATAAGTCGAGTCAGCATATCGATAGATTGCCAAGTGGTTGCTTCCTTTCTGAAGCAACTTATCTAGTGACTGCGCTATCGCAGACCATCGCATCTGCATGTTGCCGACGCGTCGCGCAACGTACTGGACCTTATTGAGGTACCAGCTGTTGCGGTGCTCGACTTAAGACCAGTCTTTTGTCTGCCCTCAGCGACCCCGTGGCCAGTGGAATCGATGTCCTTCAAGGAGTGTCCGAAGCGATGTTTCCATTCATTGGCTCTTCGCTGCAATAGTCGATTTCCGGAACGGCTATCCGTGGTTTTGATTTCACATATCGAGTTAGCTTGTTGGATTAGTTAAAGTATAGGACAAAGTAGACGTTGGAATTGAGTGATGTAGTCTCTATTGACGTCTACACGCTGTCAACACGTTTCACATTTCATTCCGAAACCCATCTTGTGTTTGGGTCACATTACAAATATGCGCCGGATGGTGCGCCTTGCGTATGGCTACAACATGCTCTGTTTCTTAGGACACGTCCGCACTACATACAGTTGCTTGTTGCTTAAGTGTTCGCGCTGATTGGTGCTTTATTTGCAGTAGCATTGTGTTCCTACTTGTTATAGGTCATTGGTGGTTGTTAAACGTCGCTTCTTAAATCTGTTTTACTGACATTGCATATCGAAACCGCCTACTTCCCTGTGGACATGGATAGCCAGCATCGTATTTTCTTAATGAAGCTTGCTAAATATGCCATCGGCCGTTGCCTGATTTGTGCACAACAGTACTCCGAGATTGATCCAGATGAGTATTTTTCGGGCGATTGCTGGACCTACCCAAAGCGACCGTCAGCAAACCAGCAATAGTGTCACTAATCGATCTTCAACTGTGTCTAAGACATGCGTTTTATAGCGTATGAATTTTTCAGCTGGTCATAGTTACCCAAAAATATTGCGTGGTAGGGGATTGCAGACGTGGCATCGCGCAGGACGTAACATTAATCCTTTAGTACTCAATAGGTAGGTGTATAGGAAACGTTTGAAGCTCGCTTTTGACTAGGTATTAATAGTCGTCTGGCATTTGGTCCCACTCATTAGGTACTCTGGTAGAGGAAGCAACATATTTGGATCTCCTGTTTAAACAACTGTGACTTCGAATTGCCATGTTTTAGATGAAAAACCATTTTAGCTCGTTTCCAAATTCTACTTGCGGAATATGCCTATTGCAGATGAGATGTCCGCAGAGATTCGGACTTCCCCTCCCATATCCGTTCAGTGCTTGAAGTCGGACTATGGAGACTTAGAAGTGACAAGGTCGGAAATCTTCAGCGAAGAACCCCGAAATTTGTCCTTGAGCTACGCGAACTCCCTATCCCGTCCGACACAGTATGAACCTTTTCCAATTAAAGTATCGCCGGCGTCGCGGAGACCTCATCTGTAATAGGCATATTCCACGAGGAAATTTGCGAAACTAGCTAAGACTGTTTTTCATCTAAGATATGTCAGCTCTTCTCGAAATCACAGCTGGTGGCTGTACAAGCCGAGAAGGTTCAAAGACATTGCTCTCTCAATTTGAGTACTTAATAAGTGGAACCAAATGCCAGACCCGACTGTTAACACGTAATCAGAAGCGAGCTTAAGACGTTGGTTAAACACCTACCTACTGAATAATATAGGGCTGACGGTACATCCTGAACGGTGACACGTCTGCAATCCTTGGAATACAGAAGTAAACGGGCTGACACGGGACCTGCTGAAACGCATGTCTTAGACGTATTTAAAGGAGAACTTTTAGTGGCACTACTGCTGGTTTGCTTACGGTCGCTTTGACTAGGTGTAGCAATCGCAATACATGAGGAAAAAATTGCCCGAAATATACTCCGCTGGATTAATCTCCGTGTTCTGTTGGACATAAATCAGGCCATGGGCGTTATGTTTAATGGTCTTCTTGCACGGAAGTGCTGCACTATGGATTGATCGCAAGTAATTAATGAACAAGTAGGATTACTTGGCCAGACATTTCGTGACTGGTCTTTCCCGTCAGAATGCACTAGGTAAAAATGGAGCCCTCGCGGAACCTCCGACAGTGTATTGAGTGCATTTCCCAGTTTAGTAGACACCTGGGATATGGCTGTCGCCGTAGTGTTTTACCAACGCAATACCGACCTGCAATGCCCCTTTATTGAGTTCATTGAGTTGTAGAGAGCAGGAAAGAAATCCCTTGTTAGCCCCATTTATTAGTATCATACTGGATTTGATGCGGGTTGTTTCGTTACGTCGCTCCTGGAGGATTCGTCACTATTGGAGTGACAGCCGCAGGATTCCAGCATTCAGTGGATGTTAGTCCAGGAGCCGCTTGGAAGTTTCCCCTGCAATTTAGTTTCATTTTCACCCTCAATTAGCCTATGAGACAGGTTTGAACACTACGTTGGGCGGTATAACGCGTTTGGGTCAACTGTTAGGATCATAAAATGATCTCAAATAACCCCTAGCACTGCTAGCAGCCTTTGTTGTCTCCAGAGTAATGAGTTGAACGGTGACTCAGCCTAATGAATCACGTGGGGTGCTACACTTCCACCGATCACAGTTACTAGGATACAGACGCTTGGATACGCATCGACTACAAAATAGTCCAATCCCATAGTCTACTAAGGCCCGTTAAAGATCCTCACGGCTCTGGGGAGATCCACAATATTCCAAAGTCGAAGTCATTGGTAGATAAGAATGAAAGTCCAGGCCATTTAGACTGCGGATCGCATCGGCCGAGCCATGGACGCAGCGGACAGCTTTTCGAAACGATACTGCATTCTACGAGAGCACATTGTTTCCGCTCATCCAAAAATGGTGCTATCAACTGATGAGGGCGATCTCAACCTTGATGGGAGCTATGAAGGACAGTGTCAGTGGCTTTAGCAAAGTTAACGGAGAGTACATCCACTGCCGGCGACCTCTTCTCAGCTGCCATTTGGTTTGTTGGAGACAGTCCAGTGATTTTAATGGATGAGTGGGTCTATAGACTACAAGGCGATTTCATGTACCCCGACTTGCAGTTGCTATTCTTAGCCTTTGTATTTGAAGCCATCTTTACCATAATAACTATGTGCATTCTAATTTTGACGGTTTACTTTCGCGACGTCCGTAGTTGACAGGCGAGTCATGCACGCGGTTGCCTCTGCCTAGCTTCGTGGAGAATCAGTCAGTTTGGTCATTTGGAAGTTTTGTTCGATAATCCCAAAGCTAGTGCTTTACTTGTTCATTCGTACACGAAGCACATGTTAACGCTTCTCCGTTCCACCCGTGTATGGAGGTTTGCTTCTCCGAGACGGCTGCGTTTTCCATATCTGATGTGCTACCAGTTGTTCACCGTACGCAACGGGAAAAAAAAAACTTGCCTGCCGTCTTGGGCTACTAGGTGAAGGGGGGGTTCAGCAAAAATGTTACGACAGTCACGGCTGGAATATAACTAGTCATCGGACAGTTAGGTTTCGTCACCAGTCTAGGGGACATTATCAATGCGTAGGTCAGTGATCTTGTAGCAGAAGTCTAAAGCAAATCCCGCTACGAAGTGACCCCAACTCGTATGTGTTTGCAGTCCATTCAGACCCGCCTGAGGTGTCGCACGCATCCTTTGAATGCATAGAACAGCTTGTATGTTGTTTTGACCGCAGTATGTTTCCTCGCTTACAGCGAGTATTTATGTCGGCATATGCGATTACTTTATTTCATATCGGCATTTTGAATGATCGGCTGTTGTTTGACATCCCAGGTGTGGCTGCGCTTGATGTGCATGTTGACAAGGTGCCTACCTGTCTATTACCCACTACCTCGTCCATACTGGCTCCAGAAGACAGTTGGTCGTTGCGGGAGGGGACGGGGTGCGCGGTTCTTGTGGTCGTGCTAGGCTCGAAGAGTGGTTCCATGCACTCAGTGTGGAGCGGACTAGAGTCCAGCCACTGCCTTGTGTGGGCTTGATTCTCCACATACAGTGTGCTTGTATTTACTTGTGGAGTGTAGGTCGGCTCCGTTGATGAAACGTGGCTCCCATGCACATGCCTCCCGGTCTTATTCATTCGGGTTTACACTGGATATGGGGTGTGGGTGGTGCAGCGCGAGCCATCCATGGTCCCTCTGTAGGCGCAGACGTCCTGTGGCTGGCTACAGTGACGCAAATCCGAAACCGAATGCCGCCAACCATGTTTCCTCCGACCACCGCCATCTGTAACAGAGTTGGCGGATTTGCACTAACTGCCAATGGTCGTCCAGTTGCCGAGAGATGATGGTAGATTTTTGAGTGTTGGTTGGTGCTTCCTCATCTTCAGAGCAATGCATGGCACTCGTGCTCTACGCCAATCAAATTGTGAGCTTACAACTAGCGGTCGGCTGTTTCCTATTTATGAGTTTTATAGGCTTAGGTGGTGTAGGCTGGACCGTGACCGTTTATCTTAAGAACTATAATCGGGATTATGTTTTGTGTCATCATCTAAGCCGTTTTCGCGATGTCAACTCTCGCACTGTTTGAGGATGCTTATGAGACCTTCGATGCACTGGCCAAGTATGGAGACACTCACTATCCAAATCGACTAAGAATGTCATCAGCAGTACGCTGATACGCAGTACCGACGCTTCACTGCCGCGCAACTACCACCGGTCATAGGTGCGCTAAGGATAACGCAAGGGTCTCCCTGACCTTACGCATGTTTGAA